CCCCGGCCCCCGCACCCGCCCGCACACCCGCCGGGCCCGCCGCGGGGAGGGGAGCAGCGCCCGGGGAGCCAGGGTCTGGGTGAAGGCATCTCCGGGGCTGTGGAGGTGCTGGACACGTTATCTGCAGTTCCCTTCTTCCCCCATCCCAGCCTGGAGTGAGAGCGTCTTCCTCTGGGCCCTGTGGCACAGAGTTCACCGCTGGGACTCGTTTTCCCCCAACAGATACTGCTGCCCCGCTAGCGTGGTGGGCTTTGGATTTTTTTGTGGTGTCTATAGATTTTCTAGATTTTTAGGTTCTGTTTGTTTTGTTTGTTTTTTTTAAAGAATCAAAAAAATAGTTGTTGAAGTCACACACAAAGGCTGCTTAGGACGAGAAGGAGTTCAGGCTGGTGCCACAGTGATGTACAGACCCAGGGTTTGTCCTGAAAAGCTGAAGGCTGCACAGCCTCGAAGTTAACAGGACAATTATTTTGAATATTGTATTTATTTTATTAATTTAGTAATAAACTTAATCTCTTTCCATCCTGTAACCAGCTGGTGCCTTCTCAGGAAAAGCAGCCAGAAACCAAGCAACCAAACCCAAGTGCGGCACCGCAAGGACTTCAGCCTCTGTCTTCTCCATCTCCCAGTTCACCCAGTGAGGGTGCTTTTAACATGCTCTGCTCTCAGGATAAACAACCGTGGGGTAGGTAACAGCTGGACTCATGGAGTGGAGCTCCTGTTAACGTTTTGCATATGACCACATTTGCTTTTTGTCACCCCTCAAGCGTCTCCAGCTAACCTTGTTCTGCTGCAACACAGAACACAAAACGCCCTGTTCACACATACTAAGCTGCAAAAGATAACTTTCACTCAGCAATTCTTGGAGATCAGAATCTAAAACAGCATTTTGTGTTCACATCTGAAGAGTTTTAAGAACATAAATCTCCTTGGTAAATTAGCAGCAGCAACACTGTTGAGTTTATTGCACTGCATCTGACAATGCCTACACACTCAAATGATTAAATTTAACTGACTGCCTTATGTATGACATTTTCTCAATCAGCTTTTTATAACATAGTTAATTGGACATTACAGACTGAAAATAATGGGAAACCCTTTATTTTAACAGCAAAATGTCAGGCTTGTAGATCAGTGCGAATGAAGAGTATTTGTGGCTCGAAAAAATGCTCTTCTGCCCAAAACAGCAATAAAAAAACAGATGTATTACAATTTCAAGAACTCATAATATGTGTGCTAAATCCAGTAAAACTATCATGAAATCCCTACATTAAAAATACACCAAGCTGTCTGCAGGTACCAAGTAATAAGAAGCTCTGCTTCTTAACGGTTTAATGCAAATGCATGAAAAATCATGCTTATGTGCAATCTCAAATGGTAAGGATGAAATAGCAATTTATTAGGAACTGTTCTTCACCTAAAAAAGATGAGGTCTTCAAAGCATTTTTTTTTCCTGTTCATTTATTGTATTGCTGTAAATATGCAAATTTTTTTGTGAATCTTGTGAATAAGGAGGTAATAAATCTGAACACTGGTAAACATAAATGTAGCATATGCCTCATGAATTTTCCACTTTGTGATGAAATGCAATGTTTTCTTCTTTTGTTTTCCTCTGTTTACTGATCATTTATCTGAAAATGATTCTATATACTGTTTTGTTTTGCTGTTCTAAAAAGCAGGGGATAGAAGTTGAGCTAGCACAAACTCGTCAGAAGAGCTGGAATGTGTGCTGGCCATGGGGCTACCTGGGAAGTAGGAAGTGTGCTGCTTCTGCTTAAACATCCCCTCTTCCTCTCTGACCACGTCAAGAAACCTAGTTATCTGAGCAACACACTCTGTAACTTATTTGCACAGCCCTGACCCAATAAGTTTTCCATCAATGTGGAATTAATTTCTTGGCTCTGCAGCACAGCCTGGTGATTTCCACAGTAGAAACTGAGCTCTTTTTTCCAATTTGCAAACAAAAGTTTGGATATTCTCTCACTTTATGCAGTGACCACCTAATGCTATTGCTGAGAGCTTTTGTGCAATCCCAGTAGCAGCCTGCAGCCTTCAGGGAACAAGTGACTGGCAGGTTTCTAAAGGAATGTTAAGACCTTCATTTTTGTCTCTCACTCTGTAAGCAACATCACTCTCTTGCAAGCAGCTGTAGGATACCTGCCTACAGCAGAGGTCACTGTCAACAGAGGAAGATGAGGGCAGGATTCAAACAAAGGAGAGGTGAGATGGAGCACTTGCAGCTGCTACTGCATTAGATAACATTCCATTATGTATAATGAGAGTCCATTCTTCTATCTCCTAAATAGGAGGCAGAAATGTGCAGGAGTAGGCCATGCAACACATGCACAGTTGTCCTAAACATCCAAGATAGCATGTTTTCAGAGAGCAACTGTAAATGCAACAGCGTGTGCTTCAAGGACATGCTGGGGTCATCATGCTACTCACCACTGTCTTAGAGCACACAGGTAGCAGCTGTTCCTTTGAGACTTCAAGACGTCCAACAGCCTCCACAAAAGCTACTGGGTAACATACATTAGGGGAGAGAAAATTAACTTAATGTTCTCTTAATTTGCCCTGTTCCTTGATAAACTTACATGCAAATATCATATGACTTCCTGCACCATCCATTTTCCCCACAGAAGAAACAAAATGCAAGCCTCCTTACCTGGATGGGAGCTACTATACGAGGAAAAAAAAAAGTTGCTATTTCTACCAAGATATTTCTGCTTTGCTAACCACAAAAGCATGCTTTACACTGTTTCCAGAGCTGCAGCAAGACAGACACTTTTCAGTAGTGACAGAAACATGTAAATTCTTGTCCTAAGAGCAGTTTAATGTGATCAATATGAATTGAGGAGGTTTTTTTAGGTCTAGCTAAACTGACATTAAAAATGTAGCAACTAGCCAACTACTAAACAAAACAGTGGAGATGTCAGAACATAATTTAAATATTTACAAGATACTAGCACCATCGTAACATAAAATAAATAAATTAACAAAAGTAAGCATTGTTAGAGTGGGAATGTATTTAAGATATCTTTGTGTCCTAAGGACTTGCCTAACACAGCTCCAATAAAATACTCTTTTAAGTGTGTACATTGCCAAACCATAGGTGATAATCTGAAACTTGCACACTACAGAGAAAAAAATGTATCACAAAGACCATACTAACAAACCAAATGCAAAATCACTTCATTATAAACTATTATTGCTATATTCATTTCAAATAATACAAAATTGTTAATTATATACAATAAAGCCTCCCAGAATTTTTGTAATTAGCAGAACATTTCAGTTTCTTTAATTGCTTCCATTAGAGTAATTTGTTCATTTTATTAACACCAGATGCAATAACACAATGCTAAAAATAAACATGCATTATACAACAAATTTATATTTTTCAAAAAATGTTCATTACAATTAGTGAATGCACATGTAACTCTTCCTCCCCCCTTGAGCGAATTATTGTTTGAAACCAAAAAAGAGAAGGAAGGAGAAACCAAACTTAATGCTATTCAGCACCAGTAGAAAGTCAGTAGACCTTTAACATTCCTGTATATCAAAAACATTTTATCTGTATCACTAAACAGGTAAAGTTTACAATATTGTCCCATTTGAAGATGTTTTGATTTATATTTACAATACTTTGTAGTCAATAAAACATTTTAACAATATTTAAAAATTGCTTAAATTCATAAAAGTATTGCAGAAATTTATAACATTTACTTCTTTTACGTACATACAAGGAAGAAGTCCATGTAAAACTGTCCGTGTTCATCTGACGAACCGACAGAGCAAGGAGCGATTTTAATACAGTTTGCAAAACCCCAATTATTTGAAGGCAGCTATCATTAAACATTCAAAAATCCTTAGTTGCCATTTGCTTCTGAAAACAAGTTCCAGTAATAAAACTCAGTATGTAAACTAACTATGTTTTTGAGATCAGCAGAAAACATATTCCCGCAGGCATCACATATTTAACAACGATGTTGATGGTTTTGTAGACAACTGTTAAGCTGTAGGGATCTGAACTGATAACTCTTTGTGACAGTAACAGTCTTTGTGAGACCCCACAGATATAGTTCATTTTCAAATACCCAATATTTTAGCAGCTCGCTGTGTTTCCAGTTCAATTTTCTACAGTGCTAAAATACGACAACTGAACGTGTAAGACCTTATTAGAATTTTTAAATCCAATTTATTTTGGCATCTAAAGCCTCTTGTAAAATGTAGCCAAGTAACATTGACTTTTGTAGTCTAAGAGCCAATAATAAACCAGCCACAAAAAATGCACTGTGCTTCAATCTCCAAATGATTAGGTACCCAAAATTAAGAAAAAGTGATAGAAAAGTAAAAAGAACAAAATAAAAAAATATTGCACAGCCACATTACCTAGAAAGTAAAGTTGATGTTAAAAAGCCCTAAGTGTGGATGATATAAATTATCTTCCATATAAAAAGTATAAATATCTCTTAAAATACAGCTGCAGCTATACTTATACCACACATTATTTGATTCATCTGTTAATGAGGTAATAACCAAGTCTCTTACAATGCTCTTCTCTACTGAAAATATTTTAGGGCAGCAACAAGGAAGAATTTTTCTAAAAATATTTCTGAATCAAGAACAGCAATGTGTGCAGCTCTCCCTATGAGAGAATCTGCTGTATTGGGTAATGCATTAATTACATTATAACGAACCAAATTACATTCCTTATTTTGAAGAACTGGCAGAAGCAGGTTCTGGATCATTTCAGCATAAATTGGTCCTATAAGAGGGAAAGAAAAGTACGGCGTGAATCACCAGAAACAAATACAGTTCTTTGACCTTGAACTCAAAATTAATACATTCCAGATTAAGAGAGATAATGATATGTGTTATGCTGCTGTTCTGTTGAGATACAATGTACAGGAAGTTTAATTTCCCCTTATATCTTGGAAAAATAATTTTAAGCAATTCATTTTAGTATTTTTTCACATTTATAGTAAGAATGTGCTCATCAGTATTAATTTATCACTCTATGTATTTGTCAACAAATAAGGCTAGAATGCAATTGTGCTAGGATGCCCCAACAGTGAATAAAACAACCAACCATCACTGAAAATGGGAAAACCACCGTTTCTTTCAGTGCTCATGTTAAGGCTCAACTACACACAGCCCAAGTGCTTGATGCTACAACATGATGCCCTCAAACAATTTAAGCTATTTGTTCTCCCTATTCATGGAGCAGCACAGCAGGGGCTGTCTTCATCCCACCTAATTTTCTGCTAAAGTCTGTAAGCCAGAAATTGATGCAGTCTCATCTCCTTCTGCATGTAATAGAACACGACAGCTCCAGAAAGCAATTCAGCTCCCACATGGATTTTCTCTCTTCATTACTACAGAGTAAGCGCAGAGTGTCTAAACATATAATAGAGATGCCTCAGTTAAGAACCCAAAAATGAAATGGGATGAATTTGAGACCTATGAGTTTTAACCTGAGTGGTCTATTTGTTTTGCAGGATATTCATTACCTGATTGTTTATCCTTTAAAGCTGTTTTACACATCTCAATGCGAGCTGAGTGATAAGGAACATAACGATCCTGCAGAGAGCCTACTAACACAATGTTTTTGAAGTAATGAAGACCTACAGGGAAAGA